CTACTGTTTTAGCAGTACAGATGAGCAGAAATGATCAAATTATCTCAATTTTATCTTGACTAATCAATAAGACAAAAAAGATCCAGTAGAGCTCAAGATTTTGTTTTCAGTAATGTTTAATGTTAACAATTTCAGTAAAAGCTCCTCTGCTGTCACTCAACAGTCAGCAGTTCCCAGTAGCAAAATCTGATGATTTTTTTTTTTGGAAATGTTTGCACATTTGTGCTGTACTGGTCAATAACAAGCCTGGGTTATGGCAGCCAAAAGGTAGAAACTAATCAACTAATACTAAAGGATTTCGGTAATGTTACTTTAGATACTAGGCTAGTTTTACAAGCTCGGGCCAGGACAGAATAAATATGTAAGCTACATTCATCAGAGGCTGAATGTGTGTTGCTACTAACATAAAGGCTAAAAGCAACACACACAACTGAAAGTTTGTGTTATTCTGCAACATTTTGGTGTGAATTGCTTCCCCAGCTTTAATTTAGTTACAAAACTGGTGCCTGCGTAATGCAAACAGCTCATACATCTTCAAACTATGTGCTAAATTCGAAGCAGTAAAACAAAGCTGCTTAAATATCCCCCACATCTCTCTGCACTCGTGCACAAAAGAGATTTAAAAAACAGTGAACAGGTTGCTATTTGAACTCCAAATAACTCAAATCTGAATCTCTTGAGGAATTGTCCATAAAAAAAAAAATAAATTCCATAAGAAACTGACTTTTTTAAGTTAATATGTTTAAACTCTGCAAAAAATGGCTCATCTTCTTTTACAATGAGAGGAAATTCTGTAAGAAATGGGAGAGGAAAGCGTTTTTGTAGGTACATGTGTGTGTGAGGGAGATATTGATAGATATCCAGACTGCGAGGAAAAAGAGAGGGGGTGCAGTAAGCAGTAAGCCCCTGAGCAGGACATGATTGCAGTGTGTATCTTATCTGTGTCAGGTCCTCCTGAGGCTAGTGGAGCCTAGCTGAGCGGAGCACAAGCGCTTCAGTGACCAGTCAAGCGTGTGAGGGTAATCTCCCCACTCCTTCAGTCTGCCTCTCTCTCTCCCTCTTTCTCCCCCTCTCTCTTACACACTCCCTCTCTCTCATTCATTCTCTCTCTCCCCATTTTTCCAGAAAGACCCCTTCTGGGAGACAGTTGAGCTGTGCGCACACACACACACACGTGAGACAGCCACACAAACAGACAAACATATTTACGCACGTAAACACACACACACACACACACACACACACACACACACACACACACACACACGCACACACAGCCAAAAGGTGATTGTGTCCTGCCAGCTCTGGACAGCAAGCCCACAGGTGAGAGGAGACATCATTGGCTAGATTACACACTGAAAGCCCTGCAGCCAGCAGCCTGTAAATACAGGAATGTGGAAGGGGCTTTTGCTATCTCACTCTAGTCCCATCTCGAAGCTGGAAGTAAAGATGCAGAAATAGCCTCTAATGGTGCAACAGAACTTCTTTCTTAAATATTACTTAAAAAAAGGAAAAAACACAACATTGATCTGTGTTGAACTGAAATGAGTGTAGAAGTGTAAATAATGCCATTACATTTAAATTGCTGAAATAACCCTTTACTTTTTTGCTCACATTTAAACTTGTCCGGGCTTTTCAAGTTCAGTTGTTTTTTTCTTTTTTTTGCAGTGAATATCTATTCTTAAGCTAATATTTAGATCAGAACAGCAAGACATCGTCATTTCACTATTTTTTTCCCTCAAATACATTGAATTGTTTGACATGCACATTATTTACTGAAGAGGTTCTTGGGTTTCGTTTTTAAAGTGTACAAGATTTATACAAACTCATTTATTAATATATTTTTATATCTGTTGGATCCTGTTCATGGTCTACTCCAATTCTATAATAAAAATCCCTATGTAAAAAAAATCCTCCTATACAGATAATAACGTATGTAGGATGTTTTATAAGTAATGAACTGAATCTAAAAAGCATTTTGACTTACTATGCGCCTGTTTAATATTTGTAGTTTTTAACATCAATGTCAAGTAATGCATAAAAGAATGCAGCAATGAGTGGCCAACCTATTGTAGCTGCATTGTCATTTTTAAACTCTTTTCTTGTCTTTCCATTGATTTTTCCACTATTATGCCAAAATTTTTAAGTTATGTTAAATGTTTTCTATTGAAGCATAATTTATTAGTAGAAGGCAATTACAGTATTCTTATTAATAGTCATACGCTGTGACAAACACATTTTTTATGAACGGATGGTTGAAACATCCCACAGAGTTAGACCACAAGCAAGTGGCTGAAGTCTGATTCTTTACTGATAAATGTAAATTAAATAAGACACAACTGTGTAATTTCATGTTAAAATGCTCACAGAGAGAGAGAGTGTGGGGAAAAAAAGCAGTACATTATGTTGTTTTGTGATACGTTTTGACAACTCTCCACCTTTTTGGTATATTTGAAAGAGAACACTGGACCATACGTTTTAAACCCAGTGCGTGTGGTCAACACAAATCAAGCAGCATTCCACGCTGTAGGTCAGCACACACACATACTTGCAGCAGGAAACAGGGGAGGAGAAGTGAGCAGAAAAATTAGTTCACGTCTACCTTTCTTTTCCCCTTTTTCCACCCCCCCCCCCTCCCCCCCTCACTCTTCATGTGCCTGCCTTAAAGCCTGCTTGGCTTTAACAACTCAGCTGTCCCAATCAATTAGCCTGGATGCTGGACTTTCATTGAGATTAAGTGACTAATATCAGTGCTTGCTCACGAGAAAAGACACTTTTTTAACGTCTGCCCAACAATCTGCTAAGTTAAAACACATGTGGTAAAGCTGAGGCCGAAAGCCTGCAAGGGGTCCTCTCAGCAATGAAAAACAGGTGCTCCACTTTTTGGCCATGTAATACCCTATTTAGCCTCTGGAGCAAAGGTTATCCAGCTAATAGCTGCCTTGTGGTGCGCTGGGAAGAGCTTGTGCACATGGCCGAAGTAAACATCTGGGACAGATTGTACATACTTGCAACATATGCTTCAAGTTCAATTAAAATGAGGCCTTGGCACATTTATTAATCTTTCCCCCCCTCCCCTCTCTCTCTCTCGCTCGCTCTTTCTACTCTTCCAGCTCTCCCCTATAGGTCTGTGCCATAAAAGAGGCCTCCTTTGACCCGTCCTTCATACTTACTCATACTATCTGAAGCCGTGGCTCCCATCCAGCGTAAAAGACCGAACATGGCATGTAAAAGACAACATTGCTTAGCGTTGAAACCCTGTTTGTTCTGCACTTAACCAGGTTGGAGGAAGAGCAGAGGAAAAGAAAGATAAAGACGTAGAGAGTGAGAGAGGGTATGTCAGAGAGGAAGAATGAAAAAGCAGAAAAGGAGTTGATTGAGAGGAAAAAAAAGAAGAGAGTGAGGGGAGAGAGAGATGTAGGTGAGAGGAAAGAAAAGAAAAATAGCCCCCTTTCAACCTCCCTATAGCTTCAATAAAATTCTAACAGTTGAGGGGAGCAATAGATCAAAATGTATGAAGTCAGAGTTGGTAAATTGTAGCCTTTGTGGTAGCTGTGCTATCCAGCATCCCAGCCCTGTGTGAACAGAGAGCAAGGCCTTCTTATTTGGAATAATCAGTTTGGCACCAAATCTGACTACGGCCACACGAGCCGCCTCTACACCTCATTTCAATATAAAAGTCCAAAAATGTATTTCATATAATCTGTTGCTTTTCAAATGCCTGTATCCTTTTTTCCCCCCACTAAGAGGAAGCAAGAAATGCAATGAAAGAGAAAAGATGTAAAGAAAAAAAAAGTTCAAGGTTGTCTGGTGCATATCTTCAGTCTCTGCCCCCCCCCCCCACCCCTCTTGTACATTACAGTCTTGGAACTTCACAATCATGGAACTTTGCTTCTACATCTCTGTGGGAGAGGATGTAATGCTCACATGTCTTTGTGTGCTCATCACCAAATGGGCAGCCAGGCTGACTGACGCTTGACTGGGATGATTATTTGACCATCTGCACTATAAATGCAGGGTTTTTTTTAACCCTTTTGGTGAATGCATCCCCTTTTGCTTTGTAGTAAATTCAGCCTGCAGTGTTCGGGATTACTGAAAGGTGCTTTACAAATACCATTACACACAGTGGCACAGTTCTTTTAGGAGCTCTCCTTCCAAAAGACTAAAACGATCACATCCCAGCTTGCTCACCTGTAAAATGCTGAAGCACCAGTTGAAGTAAAACGTTCTGGATTTCACTGCCTACATTTAACTCTTCTTCAAACTAGTCATATAGTATCAAACAATAAAATGCTCTAATTTCAAAAGTGACACACAAAAAAAGCACAACATAGTGACTGGGTAAAGAGTTAGATCATTTCAATTACCACCCCCGAGTGGACCATTGACAAGGTACTGTACCCTTTCCAGTGGCATTTGTTTCAGTAGCTGTCCCTGCAGCGTTACGAGCTGAGGCAGTAAAGCAGCCACCTGTTGTTACCTGATAGTGTCTGGACAAGCCCAGATGCTGTTTTACTGGGACATAAAGACAAACTGAATGGACCTAAATTGCTAACTAAGCACTTTATAGGAGTACATGTTCCCAGGAAGAAGGGTGTGAAGCACAGTGTGAGAAACACAAATTTCAACAGTGGTGCGAACATGAAAATAAAATAAAGACAGTGCTGCAACTACATAAAAAGGGGAAAAAAAAGAAGAAGAAGAAAACGTCAAACAAACTACGAGGTGGAAAGGTGAGAAATGTGCTGCTGAAATTCCTACAGAGAAAACTTTTAATAAAAGGTTAAAAGGTTGTACAATCTGTGAACATGTGTTTGAGCCTCAGGCGGTGAGAATTACTGAGCGTGTGTGTGTGTGTGTGTG